TATTTTAATATTTTAGCGATTTTCATATTGAAAAATATTCGAGACAGACACGTTTACACGTTTTAACGATTTCTCATGTAAGCTGTTTCATGTGGTTTCATATAACCACATTTTTATTATATTAACGGGTTTTTTTATATTAAGTGTGTTCTAAACAGACAAAATTTAATATTTTAACGATTCTTGGTGCAGATTACATTCCAGACAGAGTGTTTCTCGTATTTTAACAATTTACGATGAAAACTTGATCGTTTATATAAAGAAATTTTACTGATTCATTATCCGATTGTAAATTGTCGTTATTATACTTTTTGAATTTGAAAAACTTGAATATAGAAGTTATATAGAGTGAGGTTCCTCTGCTAATTTATAAATTTTTTAGAGTAGGAACGGAACTCCAATAACAAATTTATATCTGGGATAGCTAAAACTATAAAAATGCTATTTCTATTAAAAATTAAAGCTAGAATCAAAACTCAAAATTGTGTACAATTACAAAATAAGTTGAACTTCATTTTATCTACCTTATATGTTTCCCGCTAACACATTACAATATTTTGTACATCTAAACCTTTTTTGAAATATTCTTGTCATTTTGAACAAAATTATCTCTTAAATTATGCAGTTATTGTCAACAGTTTTTGTATTATATTATACATGTATATAAATATGTCAAAAAAACAGAAGTCATTCCTTTTCTTTAAATAAAAAATGTCCTTAAGCAATAACTGACAACATTGTAATATTATCATAATTATTATGTATTAAAATTAAATTTATACAATAATTTCTTCTTTATTTTTCTGAAAGAAAAAGGTCTTTTTTCTTATATTTTATTACAATATACATAAGTATGGCATTATACATACAAATATATTTGAAATTATATATTATACTTGAATTCTGATGAAAATATTAACGATGTCCTTAATATTGAATCATGTAGTATTTTGTAATTATTTTATAACCGATGGCTACAAAAATATAATTTGCTAACAAATTATAATACTTATTTTGTATGTATGTATGTATTACAGTGGCCATGTTTTTTAGGTTTTCTAAAATATACACAAGAAATATGTAACAAAAAAAACAATCTGATGTGGTTAGCACATAACCGACCGCAATGTGTACTGTCTAGTTAAGTGAAAGTGTTACAGATTATTATAAAAATTCCTGTTAAATACTTTTTTCCAATTTTTAGGGCATTAGTAAACTGGCATACCTAGAAAAATGTAAATTTGCTCTTAGTAGGTTTCGCTTTGTGCTACCCGAATTCCCTGAAATGTTCCTCACCAGTTACTTACGGTAATCAGCAGAACTGAAATATTAAATTTCAAGAAATTCCATCAATCCGTTCCGTAGATATGGCAAAAAATGTAAAATCGACCCTCAGATCACTTTCTGAACCCTGATCTTTTCAAAAATGTTTATTGCCTTAATACGAAGAATTTAAATATTAAATTTCAATGGAATCGGTTGATTATTTCTCTTCATATACGCAAAAATGTATATATTTGGCCCGTAGTAAACGTACAGTTGCTGACGCCTGATTTCTTCCAAAAGCTACGAGGTTCCACGGACGGTCGAGCGAAGCTTATATGTGAAATTTAAAGTAAATCTGTAGAACATTCTTTCATAATAGTTAAAAATATAAAACACGCCCACTAAAAAATGTAGTTCCCGAGGCCTCATATATCCCAAAAATTGATCAATTCATGCCTTGGTCGACATAAACTTACATATAAAATTTTATCAAAATCGGTTCAGGCGAACTTGAGATGCACGCGTGCACACACAGACTGACAGGTTTGCTAAAAATAGTTTATTTACACTTCCCTACTATTAGAAGTGCGTTCCCACCCGAAACTCGATATGCAAAATTTGTTGCCATCACATGACCTACCTTTTGTATACACAATGCGGTCGATAAAAAGTACAATACAAGAAAACTATAAATTTGTTGCTTTATTTCTCATATTTTTATTAAAGATTATATTCAAGAAAAATTTTTATTTCCACCATTTTAATGCACAAATAAATGTACATATACTAAAATTACGCGGGAATATTAAAATTTGTATGAAAAGTGGCTCGTTCTACAGCTATTTAATAACAGTCAGTATGCAAAAAATACCCCAAAAGAATAGCAAAAAAAATATTGGTTGGTTACGTCTTTATAGCTTCATTAATCATATTGAAAGAGCTTGCATGTTATTACAACATTTATCTAATCATGGTGTTGACCAGTTAATATAATTTTGACGTAAGTATGTACATATATATTTTTCTCTTCTGTTGTTATTATTTTTTTTTTGACAAGTGTGGACATTAAAGAAAAAATATAAATATGTGAATTGCAATTTGTCAATTAATAATTGAGTATTGACAAAATTGAAATATATATATATTTTTTTTTTAAATATGGCAACAATTTATTTTTACCTTGTTAATTTATTAAACTTATTATTTAATTTATATAAAATTACTGTAGGTAGTTTAATTTTGAAATTATTTTACAATAAATGGAGTGTAGTGTTGTAGAGTTTGTAAAATGTATGACATTTAATTTGTATAATGTGGCAACATTTTTGTGACTAAAATTTGACATTTTATTAGTAGAGCAACATAACTGCTTTGCTATTCAATAGGCACATTGTCAATATTAAAATCAAAATAAGTTTCTTGTGTGATCTTAATTAATTTAAAATTAAATCAAAAAATTAAGCACTTTATTATGAGTCTTTAAGAAATGATAAAGAACTTTTGTTCCAGGAACTTTGACGATTTAAAACGAAATGAGCGAAGTGAAATAAAATTTTAAAATTTTGTGCAGGTAAGTAATTTTATATATTTCGACATTCTTATCGTTCTTTATTTAGACTGTCGTCTCGATGAAATTGGACGTCAAATAAAGTATTCTAAGATATAGAGTTGAAATAGCAAGAACTTTCTTTATGGAGAATAAAAATGTACTCTGTAATTTAGAAATAAAGTTACTGAAATGGAATGATTAGCGCGGAAAGTAAATTAGAAGAATTTAAAATGTAATGCTATCGAAAAATTTTGAAAATTTTTTATACACATGCAGAGTCAGAAATCTCGAAGTTTTGAAAAGGCTAAATACAGTCTAAAGGATAATAAATACAGATAGTAAATAAGTTTTACTTTGGTCACATAATAAGAGGTGTTGTAAGCTACTCCAATTAATTATTAAAGGAATAATCGAATCCAAAAAAAAATTGTAAGGAAACAAAAGTCATGGTTCAAATATATTTCTAATTGGACAGGTATAAGAACAGTAGAAGAATTAGTCCATAGTGCTAGATGGAGAGAAGAGTGTCCATTTCTTTACATACTCAATAGTTTGTAATTTAACACAATTTATTAAATCTTAATATTACATTCAATATTACAATAATATTTAGTCTTTTTAAAAGCTAAATTCAAAAATAATTTTCCTATAATATTCACCTTTAATTCTCATTTAATTTTACCTTTAAATCCACCCTCATTCTAAGACACGCTCAAAACATTGCTAGAATTAAAAATGACGACCTTTTCGCATTTTAATTCTCTTGTTTAACATTCTTATACCTAATCTCTTTAAATTAACAAAAAAATTTTTTGAAATGAAAATAGTAATTTTTCATTTCAACAACACCTCCGTTGATAATAGACCTTGTTAAAAAATTATTATTGTGCTAATAACCACACTTATAAAGCAGGATCTAATTTCAAAGAAACCACGAAAAGGAAAAAAATATTTGATAAAAATTAAAACGCAGTCAAATATACAATGTTTGTATAGGCTCTAAATGACTTCCTTAATTTTATTTTCATTTCATTGATTCTAATAAAACTTTGTATGATTTTTGAGTAGTTTATTAAACAAGGTGAAAAAGAAATTCAACACAAAAAAATATGAAATTTTTATATTTATTCTTTTTCGGTATTATCTTAATCAAATAATCTTAATGACATAAATATATGGTTTTAAGTCAGATTCATTATTGTTGAAAACCCCAAATTACTCGGATTATTAAATTTTAAGTGTATAAGTTTTATGACCAAAAGAAAGTGCCAGTTGAATTCAACCCTCAATTTTTGAATTTTTGTTTTGTTGTTGGTATCATTAAAAATTTTACGATTAAGGATAACTGAGGATAAATATATTTTTAATATATGTATATGTTTATATTGTATATATAGGCAAAGAAATGTAGAGCGCCAGTCACGGACTGTCTAATTGCATTATATTTTAGGTTTAATAATAGAACGGGCGTTCAAAAATCATTCGATTCAATTTTTGTTTTTATTATTTTGAATTTTTGATATTTTTCTTTTTTGTGTTCATAATTTTTTTTATATTATGGCAATTCTATTTAATTTGAAGAGAAGCAGAGAGGGAGAAATGCAACAATTAAAATGTCAAAATAAAAATAATAATAAAGGTGTAATAGACATTGTTATAATGTAGGAATTGTTGTAAAATTGAAGATTGTTAAATTAAAATAAAAGTTATATAAAATAATATTGTGATTTTATGAGTATACAATATTTGTTATTGATCCCGTTACAATTTGAGTTTTAATTTTTGAACGAAATACCAAATTTAGAATAAGTATGTAGGAAATACAGTGGTACAAAAAATTATTCGTACAAGATTAAGTTGCATGTTTTTTTTCGATTTCCAGATATATTAACTTATAAAAAATTTTTTTTTTTAATAAAATTTGTTCTTCATTTATTTCTTTTTAATTATCAACAAAATAAAAAATAAAAAAAATAACACATAAGTTAAAAAAACAACAAAAACAAACTTCGATCACATTTTCGAGACAAAATATTATTCGTACAATTTAAACAAGTTCAGATAATTACAGTTATCTTAAAAAATATATTCATTGCCAATATTAATAAATAAGAATTAGTCAATATCCAAGTGTTCTCATACATAAGTCATTGATTGGTGCAGTTTTTATCCATTATTTAATAATATGAGTCGAAAGCAAAAAGAAACTGCTCTTGAGGAGCGCAAAATAATAATTAAACTTATCTCTGAAGGTAAAACTTATAGGAAAGTGGGTAAAATACTTGGAAGAAGCCACTCGTCCACTCAGTCCATTATAAAAAAATATAGACACGAGGGAATATTAACAAATGAAGCAGGCAGAGGTAGAAAAAGACTTTTCACGCAAGCAACAGACAATTTTATTATTAGTAAAGTTAAAGCAAACCCCAAGATTCACATACCAGAACCGACTAATCAGAAACCGGAAATCATAGAAAAACCTGTTAGTTCAGAAACGGTGCGAAATGTTTTACGGAGAGCTGATTTTCACGCCAGAGCACCTAGAAGAAAACCATTTATTTCAGAAAAAACCGGAAGCTAAGGTTGGAATTTGCAAAAACTTATATTAACAAGCCCCCAGAGTTCTAGGAAAAAGTAATTTTCTCTGACAAATAAAAGTTTATGATTTTTGGATCAGATAAAAAGCAAATGGTGTGGAGAAAGCTTAATTCTGAATTGAAAAAAAAAAATTTGCAAGCAAATTTAAACATGGTGGAGAAAGTATTTTATTGTGGGGGTGTGTGGCAGCCTCTGGTGTTGGAAATTTGGAAATTATTGAAAATATGATGGATAAATTTGGATACTTGGATATTTTAAAACGTAATTTGGTAGCTAGTGTAGAAAAACTAGGATTGACCGACGAATACTACTTCCACAAAGATAACGACCCAAAGCACACTTCAGGTAATATTAAAAAGAAAATCACATTTTATCTCGGCTTTGTCAAAGAATGGTTACTTTACAATGTTAGACATCAATTACACACTCCCCCACAATCATCAGACATCAACTGTATAGAAAATTTATGGAACACTTTGAAAACACGAATCCGAAAACCTAAAATTACAAATAAAACTGAGTTAAAGGAAAGGTTACATGAGGAATGGTCAAAAATCGACCGTAATGAAACTTTAAATTTAATTAAATCGATGCCAAATCGTCTTAAAGACATAATACAATCCAAAGGGAATCATACAATATATTAAATACTTAAATTATTTTCAAAAAACTCTTAATTTTATTTTTGTACGAATAATATTTTGTCTCGAAAATGTGTTCAAAATTTGTTTTTGTTCTTTTTTTTTTACTTATGTGTTATTTTTTTGTTTTTTATTTTGTTGATAATTAAAAAGAAATAAATGAAGAACAAATTTCATAAAAAAAATTTTTTTTTTATAAGTTAATATATCTGGAAATCGAGAAAAAACATGGAACTTAATCTTGTACGAATAATTTTTTGTACCACTGTATAGTGATATATATAGTGTAATAAAAATGCTTTTTCTATATTTTGATTGAATATAAAATAGTTATGCTTTAAATTAGGTTAATAACAATAATGTCATATCACGATAAAAGCCCAATTCTGTACAATTTTAATAGTGTCTCCAATAACAAGTTCAACTGTTTGCTCAATTTTCCAGTTTAAATGGACGTTTAAGTGTTTTAAAGCAATTAAATCTGGAGAAATTTTCTGAGATCCGATAGCCCCTCCGAAATTGGAATTTTTCTGTATTGCGCTTTTGAAATGTGTTCAATCTTAAATATTACAATAGCCTATTTTTTGCATATTATTTTATTAAAAGGATGTTGTCAAACTAATACTATTAAGTTTGACATAATAAAGATTATATATAATTTCCCAGTTAAACAAATTTTCACAATCAAACAAATTTGGCCAAAAATGGGATTATAAGATGTTTAAAGGTTTTTTATGGAAATATTGGCACAATTGGCATAATTTATTCTCAAAATATTTTCAAGAAATACAAATTATGACTTATTAATAAAAAGAACAGAAAAACAAAATTTTGTGATAAATTTTTAGTATTTTATTATTTTAGCTTAGGTCAAATGAAGATTCATTATATCATAAAAATCTAATTATTTTTACAGGTGTTATAATAAAAGTATACGAATGAATTTTTATTAACAATCATAACATTTTGATTATAATTCAATTTTATTTAATTTCCTTTAGATTATTTTATAATATGTGATACAATGTATTCGTATAATGTTCATATTACCATACTCGAACCTGAACGCGAACACGAACGAAAAAAAAGAACTGCATGTAATAACTGCATGACATCGAATAAGTAAATAGAGTAGATTTTCTTAAGATAATTTGAATGCAATATTTTAATAAGCTAATTTTGAAGACAATTACCTTTATTTGTCTACGCATATCTTAATTTATAATCTTAGCATAATAATCTGATCTGTTATTTATACGGGAATGTCGAATGAAATACCAATTTGTATAAGGAAATTTTTGAAAATATTATATGATATACATACAATTTTATTGATATAATGGGAAAAATGACATATGACATATTTTCTAATTTGAACGTGATTTAAAACGTTTGATATAAAACAATTGATATTTATTATTATATAATATCGTTAAAATTACATGAGAGTTTAACAATCTGTTATAAAAATAGAATATTTTTTTCCATATTTTGTGATATTTATCAATTTCATATTATATTCTGACAGATAAATACACATTTGTAATTATTTTATGAAATAATTATCCTCATTAACTGTTTGCAAGAGTATTTATTTATTTTATACATATTATATGTGCGTATGTAGGTGTTTGACAAGCATAAATAGAAAAAATTGATTTTTGTATGACGATGTACGAATTAAATTGGTTTGAACTGATGTCATCGTATGAGACTTCTGGTGAAATTTTCATTAAATAACAAAATATTTTAAAATATTTGGAAGAGCAATATAAAATGTTCTAAATTTTATGACAGAATATTATTAAATGCAATATGAAGTTGTGATAATTTTTCGTTTACAGCTTGTGTTATACATTTCCATCATACAATAATTGTGTTAGACATCATACAATAATAAATTATAAGAACTTGGTAATAACTGTGGAGAGTAACAAAGCACCTCGACCTAAGAGGTAGAAATATTGTGTCCTGCCTCCCCCCCCCACATATCCACCAATCGCGCCTTAAGCGCTCCCTCGAAGTCTATCCTTTTGATAAATTCGAGTCATTTGTGGGGATATGCTATTTAATATGAGATAACTACCGAACATGATGATTATTTTACAGGTAATTCATGCCACCTTACATCTACTTCTTCAATTATAATTAGCAACGATGAACTTCAAGATTAATTAAAGATTTTCAAGACTAATTAAAGGGTAAAGCAAAAAATAATTAAAGGGGAAATTTTCGTTCATTTTTTGTTCACTCTCTCATAATTTTGATAGTAAAATATGATGTTAAATGTGTTGAACACCTAAATGCTTTATACAATTAATAAATTGAAATCCAAACAAGTTCAAGTGATATTTTTGGCAAATACACGATGTTAACTTAAATAACATATTCATCAAGATTCTGAATAATGCAAGATAATTGTTGGCTTCAAAGTTATTTACAGTTAAAAATCAATTTTAAATTATTTAAAGCCTTGAATTATAAAATTTAATATGTAATTTTTATTGACAATTTTGTTGTGAATCATAAAAAAAATTAAAATTTCATTTTTATACTTGTATTTTTTCTAAAATTTAAAATAATTTCCTGATTACTTAATTAATTTTAAGATTTTGAAATTAAAATACACTATTAACAACATTAAATAAATAAACAGGTGACATAACAGCCAAAATTAAATTAAAAATTTTTTAATCAAAATCTGTTTTATTTAATTACAAACAGATGTCGCTTAAAATAAACACATTTTATTTTATTATTTTTAAAATAATTTTAAAAATAAAAATTTTCATTTTCACAATAATTACTTTAAACATTTTTATTTTAAATAAAATTTATTTAAAGTGTTACCTTCTTGTTTTCTATCAAAATATACAAAATAGTTAAAAGATTTTTACTGCTACTGTTTTGTTGTTATTTTTAATTACATGTTAACATGTAAATTAACATGTTAGTAATTTTAGGTTTTAGGTTAACAATTCTAGTATATATAAGAGACTTTAATGTATTGTAATTCACTTATAATTTAAATTCGTGATATTATTTTTATATATTTTTTTTTTATTATTGTTTCTATGCATGCATTCTAGTAGTTTTACTCATACTCTATTATGGGTGGATACTATATTTATAAACATTATTTAAATATATAAAGATCTTTAGTTAATCAAAAGAAAAACGACACTGTAATTTGAGGTTAAATTAGATTTGAAAAGAATATTCATTGTTTGATCATGTTTAGATGATATTTATTTTGAAAAACATTAAAAAAAAAAGAAAAAAAAAGAGCAAAAACGAAACAAAAGTGAGTAAATAATGTTGTATAAAAAGAAATAATATAGACATTGAGGTTGGGTTTAACATCTTAATTTAATAGTTAATGGTGCGCAGTAATTGTTGCGATTATAATTTCACACACTCAACAAAAAAACTTGTTATTATACGGCATTAACCTGTATAGATCAAAGGATAATCCAAAATTCTGTAAAAGAATAATTTTAATTACCCGCCCCCACTGCTATCATACCAATTAGCATTATCGTTTAGTTATTTTACCGCACAAATGCAAAACTGGGTTTTAATTTTGTGATTCGTTTTTTGTGTTACTATAATATTAATTTCAGATATTACTTGATTTAGTTCTGTCATACGTGTCCGACAAAACCAAACGATTCTTCTTACTTTACATAAGCAGGGAGCATTCCGAGATCCGATATATGATAGTCAGAAAAGTTTTTTGTTTGAGGTAATGTCACAACTACGACATCTTTAATAATATTCCTAATTAAGAGGAAAGTTTCTTCATAAATAAATCAGTGTTTCTCAAGTAGTATGAATATTATATAATTAAAATAATAATAATGTAAAATTTAGGATAACTTTATATTTATGATTTTATTACAGACTGTGTAGTATAATATCGTAAAATCTTCGATTAACTTCGTAAAATTTGGGCTTGTGTGTATGTTCGAATTAGTTTTAAGAATAATTGAAGTTAAATAATTTTTTATTTTTCTAAATAAACTAAATATTTTTTCTCGGTGTCGAAATATCGATACAATTTAGAAATATATATACCAAGTTGAAATCATATGATTAAAATGTTAATTTTAATATAGAGTTTAATAAAGTATTTTAAATATTAAATGAAAAAAATATTCCATAATTTTTAATATCTAGCAAAGTTGAAAATACACTAGATATTTTGAATTATCTAGTGTACAACTTATAATTTAACATTATTGTATATTGTAAACTATGATTTTATAATATTATGAAATATTCAGTATTTCGTGATTAGAATTAATGAAAAATATTTTATTTAATTTCTAATAAATTTTAT